GATGGCTAGGGGGGACTAGTAAAAGCGCTATACAAATACAGGCGATTTACCATTTATAACTCCGCATCACAGTAATCACAGATTAACTCTTAATTTGTGCCATCGTCATGTCAAAATGATACTCTCTTGATATTACTACAAACTGACAAAACAACATAACCTCTTTTGTCCATCTGTAGTTTCATTTCAACCTAATCAGTATCATCAGGTAGCAGCGCCGAGACAGACTGCCAGGCCCCTGCCCACACAAATGCACACACACATTCACAGCAAGTCTGGCCTGATGCAGGACTCACAGACAAACAGCCAGATGGGGTATTAACATAGAGTGTGGAGTCGTGTGGAGAGTGTTGCCATGAGCCTGCCGGGTGAAGAATGAAGTCGTGTGCAAACTCCTCAACGCTCACATCAATGCATCATCAAAGGCCAAGGTGACGGGCTCTTTCCGTATTTACAGGCCTAACTTACCAGGTATACTGCTGGGATTTTGTGTCTTTGTGTTGCTTGAAGTATGACAAACTACAAAGCCAGAAGGGTACACCAAGACAGCCTGTTCAAACCGTGGATGGATAGTTTACAAGTTAACAGCTTTGGCCAACTATTTGTCACTTTTATGACAATCATAATTTATGTGGCTTAAAAAGTTCGATGGGAAAAATAAAAATGACCAAATCATCCATCCCATTTTTCCCCTCATCATGCTAAATCTCTTTCTTCTTCTTTTTTTTTGTATGCCAGTAGTTTCAATCACATAAATAGATAGTCTAGCAGATGACAGGTCATATCTGAGTATCTACAAGGTAATGACAAGGAAAAGTGACAGATTACGTCTCTGTGTTGTTCCATCATGCACGAGCCTTTTGAAGAATGGAGCTAGGTAGAAGTGAGTGCCACATGATAGGAAAAACCCTCATAAATATGTTTTGTTCCAGGTTCTGCATGGATGGATGTCTCGTAAGGATGAATATGTTTATATATAGTGTGAAAGGGTGGCTAGATTGATAGGCAGCTGGCACTGATTTTGGTGTTTTTACAGTTCACTCCCTTCAGTGACTACATGAAATGTACGTCTGTTAGTAACATTGTTCTTATTTATCTGAATTTACTCTGTCCGCACTCTCGGTGATTGGGGACGTTGTCGGCATTCGGTCGTTCACTATTTCTCCATTATCTGAACCTGATTGACATCATTACTTGTCTTCCTAGCCTAATGATCACAGGCTTAGCAACAGCACACATGGACGCCGAGCTATCTTATAAAAGCAGTCGAGTTATTGATATTGTTCCTAATGTAGTGAGAGACAATTAAGCGAGGGAATGATGTGTGCAGTCACCTCTGAATTTAAATGAGGCCTCAGTGTATATGTAATTGCTTTTGTGTGAGTCATACCACCATCATGCGTTTGGCTGGGACAGTTCTGCAGTGTGTTGTACCTTGAGGACTAGATGCTTCTCACCAGTTATGTACTGTACCTCAGTGGGTGTGTTAGTGATGACAAATGGGTTTCTAATCTAAAATTTGTGCAAGAATTAATTACATCACAAATATATCTAGGTCTTAAAATGTATCCATCCATCTGTTTTTTGATGCATATGTGGGTCCAAGTTCTGGGAAGCGCACGGATGCCCAGACCTTGGTCTTCCTGACCACCTCGTTCAGCTCTTCTGGTGGACCACCAAGGCGAGCCCAACCAAGTCAATCCACATCACCTCTCAAGCTGCTCCTGGGTCCTCCCCCTAAGTGGACATACCTGAAACACCTCACCTATTAGGTGTCCATGCCCAAATCAGCTCCTCACACCATCTCTAAGGGGAAGTTAATTTCTTATTTATTCATTCTTTCTGTCCCTACCCGAAAGATAGGATAGCAAAGATAGGAAGTTGTTGACTGGTTGTGCAGTCTTACAATTGTCCTCGAATGTCCTTGAAAGGTCAAATAGCAGCTTCAGTGTTTGACGACCAGGACGAAAACCACGCTGTTCTTCTAATGGATCTGAGTCTCAGTCACCCAGGCATAAACATTCTCTGGGTGATTGGAAAGGTTTAGATAACTGTGACCTCATAAAGCATGACCATGGCATTCATATGCCAAGGTTAACAGTGAAGTCTGGACAGAAATATGATTTATGCTTGACTTGTTCATAAAACATACAGTTGTATGTGGTGTGTGGATGCTTCTGTTTGGTGCTTTGCATGCATGTTCCACTATCATAATGTTAAAATGAAGTGAGAGAAAATCAAAATATAAAGCTTCAGACCATAAAATAAAAACAATCAGAACACAGTTGCTGTAATCATTCACTGAGCTGAGGGCAATGGCACAATTAGCTAATGATTCTTGTCAGTTTCACATTACATATACCCGTTTGACCCATTTTATTCATAAAAATGAGGATATTTCCAGCTTTATCCCTCACTCCACACTTTCCCCTTGGTCATTTGCACCCTTCCTATAATGATTCATTGTTACTAAGGCTCATTCAAAGGCACTTTGCTTTAACGCCATGTCCTCAGACATGAAGTTGGGCAGGAATGTGGCTCGAACCTTCCTGGATTACTACAAACTCAATAACTTCGTTAAGGACAACAGACCAACTCCTATTCAAAGGTAAAACTGTATGGCACTAGAATTATATATTCATGAAAGCAAATCTATCTGTGACTATTGTCACAGTGACTTTTGTTTTTCCTCTTCTCTGAATTTCACGCTGTCACTGATGTTCGTCTGTTTTTGTCTCCAGTTCTGGGGTGATGTCCCAGACAGGCAATGGTGTTGGCAGAGACACAGCAGACAGAGAGAAGGAGAAGAGCGAAAGTGTCGGGCACTAGACAGCCAGCCAGACGGACACAGGCTGAGCATGTATAAAATGCAGAGCACTGTGGCAGGAGGATCCTTCACACTTCATTGTGTTTATAAGCTCCACATCTCCCTGGCTATAAAGACTTATTTTCACAGATTTGTAACAGTGGGATGACTGGTACTTGTAGGACTAAATCCAGAAGAGGCGTCCTCCTGGGTTATAAAGCATGGACTGTTGAATACCAAGAGGAGACAGACTGGTTATTCATCTATGTTTCCATCCAAGGCCTTCATTTGGCAGCTCATTTTTTTGTTGAGAAGAAAAAAGTGCATGCGCTCCTGTTGTTTCCCCCCTCCCCCCCCAATTTAAATGTTATCTCTGATTGTATTATAATTAGTCATTAAACATTAAAGCAGTTAATTATTATTTGTACTTGTTGCTCTATTATAACAATAATATAGAGGAGAGCTTTACAGTATATAAAGAATAACTTCAAAGCTTTTTAAAAAATGTTTTATCTGTGTTCATAGTGCTAAAAAAAGAGCATTTTTACATTGAGGTTTTAGGAAACACGAACACAAATCCAGGCTATAGTGCGGCGATGTGAGCACACGTGCAGTGATTGTGTGTGCGAGACAACACGCTTTTGATTCGCCACTTCTCTGTCACGTGACCCCACATCCGCTCCGTGACTGTTGCTGTTTGGCAGCTATGACAACGAACTTTGAAAGTTAGATGAATGGCCTCGGTGAAGAAGAAGTTTTCCTCCTCTCTAGGGTATCAACATTGTCTGAAATGCACGGTGTACTTGGACATTCAGGCAGTAAGTGCGTCTTTATGCTGCTGCTTTGGTACGAAGTTCAAAATGTGACCTGATGCCGTAGCTTATTAACGTTTGCTAGCTAGCGAGCTTACGTCCTCTTTCAGCAAACCTTCCGTTACGGTTCCCTAAATACACAGTTAGCTTACCAGCTGATACACCAGGGTTATCCTGACATGTCTCATTAACTTACTAATTCCTCCCTGTCGTTACCAGTAACGTTAATACTGATGCTGCCGTAATTATTCTAATTGAGTCACTGCAATTAGTGCAAACAGTTAGAGATGATACGAAAGGCATGACTGGTTCTTTCACGTATTAATATTTATGTCTGAGTCACTTCAGTATTAATCTGTTTATACATAAACCATTAATAGAAATATTGATGTCCACTAATGACCCCGAGGTTCTGCTGTCAAAGTTGATTGTTGTGGTTTGATGTCCATTAGGTGTTTTTAAGTAACTGAAAGTAATTCGTTTTTTCATAATTTATCAGTGTACGATAAGCGTCATTTCCTGTTTCAGTAAACTTTGGGTTGACCTTATAAAGCCCACTTTATGCGTGAGGATGATTTCCGTCCCGTTTATTGCTTCAAGTTCATAAAAGTCAACACAACTGACTCACAAAAGTAGGTGTCAATATGAAATACTCACCATAGAATACGAAATTGGGAAAATGAAACGGAAGGTTTACAAGACAAGAGGCCGAGATGGAGGTTGCAGAGTTTAAGATGCTAAAAGATCTTCACGACGAGGGACAGCATTAGAAATGAGTACATCAGAGGGACAGCTAGTGTTGGGCGATGTAGAGACAGAGTTAGAGAGGCAAGGCTGAGATGGTCTGGACATGTGGAGTGGAGCAATAGTGGACAAAGTATGTTGAATATGAAGCTGCAGGGCAGCAGGAAAAGGGGGAAAGACCACAGAGAGGAGGAGAATTAAAGGAGGACATGCAGAGGGTTGGTGTGACAGAGAAGGATGCTGCGGATAGGGTGAGATGGAGGCAGATGATCTGTTGCGGCGACCCTGAAACGAAATAAGCTGTAGAAGAAGATATGATAGGATATAGGCCGAACCTTGAACCTGCATAGTTTCTGTGTATCTATTAAGTTAGATATAGCAAAATTTGACACTAATGTTTCCCACATTGTTCCACAAAAACATTTTCTTTGACCTTAAATTGCCAAGATTGGGTTACCCTAACAGCAGTAACAGTAGGAAGTCTTGATGTGAGGGATTGCACATGGATTGCGTATTTTAGTAATTGTTTATTAACTGCTGTTGTCTTTGGGATATTTGCAAGTGTGCTTCTCTTGATGAATGCAGTCTTCCAAACATGTTTGAAAACCATAATAAACGAACACAGTAGAATTTGTGCCCCGTTATACTGTTCATAACCAGGTCACATGCCCGGGAGTGCTACTGTCTAAGAAGTATGATATCTACCTCCGTGTCTGCATCATGGGCCAGTACAGGAAGACTGCCTGTGTGCCTCCGGACTTCCCTTTGCTTTTCCAGCACAAAATGGTTTTTGTCAAGGTGAGAATAAAGCAATTTATTATAGAAATAAAGGACGCCTCCTTGATTTGGGCACACGATTTCCATCTGCCTGTGGGAGTTTTAGACTTGGCAATAAAAGTGTACATATGATCATTAAACTAAAAGGAAATTCAGACAGACATAGATTTACCCTACATTAGTTATAGTGTACATTAAGAAAAATATGAAAACATACAGTATTAAAGCCTTATCATACAGTTTTTGCTCAGTAGATTTAAGACTGTCAGAATCATCTTATCATTATAACTTTGCATTAAATCTTAATGAAGTTTGTGCTGAGATAAATGTGCGTTTTTAATGCACAGCTTAACCTGTGATAATTAACACATGCGGGTGACATGGGCGGAGTACATAAGTTCTTATTGCTAAGCAGTTTTCACACATTAACTCCAAGGATGGAAGGCAGGACGGCATACAAAATTTGTCCTTGCTCACATGTAGCATACACCTGTTTACCTCTGCTCTTATCTTTGCTCTGCCACCACACTATGTGTTTTATTTATTATTTTTTTGTCAAGGTCAGGGTAAAGCTATTTGCTACAGAAATAAAGGACGCCTCCCTGTGTGAGACACAGGATTTCCATCTGTCTGTGGCTGTTTTGTTTAGACAGGATGCAGGAATTCTAGTGGCTTTATGTCTATATATTAGCTTTACTTTTATCTACATTTGATTCATCTTAAGAGGTGTGCATAAGTGTTTTAGGTGCTTTTTTTAAAAAAAGTTACCTATATGTTTAAGCCTTTTGTTCTTTCTTATGTGGGCCAGCATTCATCCATAGTTAGTATTCAGGTGGTGAAGGATTATGAGCCCACTGTGCCTAATAACCAGCACCCCTCCAGTATGAACATTAGTGTCCTAACTCTTAGTGAGAGGGGCCTTGTTTTCCCTGGGGAGACTGGTACACTTAGATACTGGCCTGTCCGCCAGATCTTGTTATAAGTATTGATTTGCTTTGTCTGTACTCTTTGTGTTTTCCCAGATATTCCCCGGCGTTGTTGACCCTGCTGATGTAGCTGACCTCCTCGAAGGTAAACGGCCTACTGGGATTTGCTTCCTCATCTCTTAGTCCTGAATCCTATCCTATGAAAGCTTATTGGCTATTAGCTGAGATACCGATCATTAGCTCACAGTCTGTTTATACTTTCCTTCCTTCCTCTTAGCTGACACAACATCTTTTGAGCTGATTCAGTTGGTGCCTCCAGGTATGCTTTCTGATGATACCAAATGGGCCTCTTAAGTCCCCACTGTATCCAGTCATTACACTGCAAAACAGGATATTTAACTTGGACTGTGTGTGTGCATGTTCCTGGCTTTTTGTGTGTGTGTGTATATGGGTTATAGAAGGTGAGGTACTTGCCACAATGGAGGAAAGCAGCAGAGATTTCCTGTATCCAGGTCCCAGGTGGAGCTCAAGAGTCGCAGAGCGAGAAATACTGATGAAAAGATCATCCTCATTTCCTGTAAGCGTTTTCTGTTTATGCCAACATCCTAACATTTATCACAATTATGTGTTAGAAAGCTCTAAAGAGGTCATATAGGTGTTTTTATTTAAAGTTATACGTTGAGTGTGAGCATTAAGGCCCGTTTATAAGTGACTTACTGCTACTTAAGCAAAAATCAAAACGTAACTTTAAAAGTGTCTTTGCAGCAATTTTATGATTGATCTCATATATAGTCAGTGAAAGAAAATAGAGGTTTTTTCTGTGTTGTACACTAACAAAAAAGATGTTTGAATTCTTTACATGCATGCATATATTAATCCCTTATCATACACTTTGCTCTTTTTTGTTTTCTGTTTAATGATTAAAATCATCTTAACTTTTCATTAAGTCTTCAGGACATTGAATTAGCGCTAATATGAAGCCATTTTCACACACGCTAGCACACAACAGGATGCATTCCACAGCAAACGCAGTTAGGAATACTGTGCCTGCTGTAGGGGAAGGTGCAGGAAATGATGCACTCTCGCTCACTGTAAATTTACCGGACAGTTACATGCCAGCAAATCAGAGATTCCGCAGACTTTGGACCTGGAAACTGGCAGGTTCAGTGTCCGGTCTGACTACGTCAGTCATTTGCAAGAAATGTAGAAAAGTTCAGGGCTGCAGTGTATTTGTGAAAACTGCTTAATAAAAGTCAACAGCACGCCAAGTATGGACAATAAAGGTGCAAGGAAAGTAAATGCAAACACAAGAGAATCCAATTGGAGGCATTCCAAATAAATCAAAGATAAAAAATAAAGGTTGTTTAATATCCTGTCAGTGCATAAATGTACATGTCAGATAAACATCAGCCACTGACACTGGTAAGTTTCAAGTTATTTTACAGCAGGCTGGTAGTGAGCCTTTACTATTAAATACTCAAATGCCAATAAACGGGATAAATGTTCTCTTTAGTCATACAGCTTTATCTAATCTTGTTTTTCATCTTTGGTGAAGAAGCAGGAAGCAGAGTCGTTCTTCAAACAGAGTTTTACAACCCAAAAGTCTCCAAAAGAGCTTGTATGCTGTGCAAAATGTAAATAAAAACCAGGCTGCAATATTTTGGACGTGATTTAGACACAATTCTGTGGTGGAAATTGCTGTGTGGGCCTGAGAAAACTTTAAAAGAGCACAGTTTGTCACCATATCGACAAATGCAAATGCAAAAAAATCCACCATGCAAAGAAAAAAACAGATGCAAACAAGATCCAGGAATGCTGCTGCTGCTGCATCTGGTTCGAGCTCATTTAAGATGGACCGAGGTTAAATTTCAAAAGCATCTCACGGTCTGATGAATAAAAATGTAAAATTCCTTTTGCAAACGTGGACGCTGCGACCTCTGAGCTTGAAAAGAGAGGACGTCTTTTTTTTTGTGTGTGGACATGTGTGAAGTTTGTTACATAACATCCATTCTTAAATTTTCAAGTAGTAGTCAAAGTCAAGGATTTAAACTTTAGTCTCTCACTGAAGTTCGAAATGTTCCATTTGGCAGATGCACGAGTGTATATTTCATGCCTGTGAAGGGTCCTGATAGTAATTTCAAATAGCACAATACTGAATTAGTTAAAGGAAGGAGGATATTCCTGTCAACATAATCCACGTGTCACAAAGACCGCACGCCGCGTTCACCACGGGATCCAGTTTGAGTGGCACCAATATTGCTCGTGTCATTCATTGTTGCTCACTCTAAGTGAGTCTCCTCCTAATCTCAGTGGCTCTCGCGTCGGTGCACTTGACAGGCAGCTACACCACCAAGATAACCAGTTCAAAAGAACTGTCTTGTCTTAAACTGAAGTATTGTCTTCAGAAAAGATGGCATTTTCCTCGTGCAGCTGTTGACTGTCTTTGCTATACAGACATGAAAAAGGAGCTGAGAACTTCCTGTCTTTTCAGTCATTTTTCATCTTTTTTCTTCTTCTT